AGAACTATGGATATAGATGATTTTATTGTGTGAGTAGTTTTTCACAATGCTTGTCTAAGAACAAAAAGAAATTAGGAATTTTTTGTATAATGTGTAACATTTGCAAATATTGGTCATTATTTGAGACAGCTCATTCCTAATTCATAATGTTTATAATATTTTTACTGGATTAATGTCGATTCAGTAAAAAAGATTAGAAAAGAAACGAATTGAAAACAAAACACTATTCACAGATATTTAGGCATGGTGGTATTATAACAAAAACATGTTTAGTATTTAAAGTTTACTTTATTACTTCCACACTAATTTATTACTACACTTGCAAATTTATGACTATGTCCACTGGACTATTGAGACTCCTCTGTCGACTCTACTCTGCTGCTCCCTCTCGGCACGCGTATATTATATTCTTGAAGGGTGACAAATGCTTGCGGCGTCCGTAATTCCGGTTGCCTAAGTGTCGATGTACATACATCTTATGCACATCATTACTAAAAGTTGTAGTTACGAGGGCGTCACAGTATGTTTGGTTGAGTTTTAAACAAAATTAAGGTTAAGCAATAATAAAATTCTTTATTTAAAGTACAATCATTTTTTACAGGATTCTACATGCTTTCAACCAGGAAGGCATACATTTCTCATAATATACATTTAATATAATTAAGTTTGTTATGTACATAGTATGACAATAAAGGATGTATTTTAAAACGAATATCTTTGGGTTATGTGTTGAACACAATAAATAAAAATAATTAAAAAATATAATACTCTGGAAGTTAGGTAACCAAATCAGTGTACATATGGGAATTATATGTATAATTGCCCATAAAATTATTAGACAATTGCACTGTGTGGCTCTTACTTTTGCTTCAAGTCTTCTCTAATTTGTTTGGATAAACTTCTGGCAGTTAGACTAGAAATCACCTTGCCAGTAATCTGAAAAGAAAAAGATTTATATTCTTGTGTATATTTCACATATCGTCGGGTTACTGTAAGAACCAGATAACTCAAAAAACTAAGTTTATAATAGGTAATTTTAATTTACATGTTTGGCAACATTTAAATCAGGTCGTAAAATGGGGATAACGGTGACGTGGAAATTGTTTTCGCAGCAAGCTGACGATATAGAAATCAGCATTTCATAATTACACAAACATAAATTCTGAGATAATAAATGCGCAAATTTTCAAAAAAAAATATTTATCTACATTACATGTCACGTTTTTGTTATGAACTTTCATTTTATCTTAAATAGTATTGCATCCGGAACATTATCTTTACCACTGGAATGACATATTTTCCATAATTCTTATTACAGCAACGAAATATTTATATCTTGCTTTCAAAAATATATTGAGGGTGTTACTCTCAGTCAAACCTAAAATTCCGAACTTAATGCCGTAATATTGTAACCTCACTTCTACCATCTGAGTTTCTGACTGAAGTGAGTAAAATAACCTTTATTCTCTGACGTTGATAGTTTGAGATTAAATGTAGGGTCACCTTCTATCGGTATCCGGAATAAAAATGAAATCCGATTGACTGATCCCTTCGGTGCGAAATACAGAAAAAACATGAATCAATCTATTTAAAAATGTTTTTTTGTGTAGAGAATACCCTAATCGGAAAACGAACTTTGAGAACTGTCAACTATTCGTTATCTGAATATTTCGCGAAGTATTGAATACTTACTTCATTGCTTTCAAACAGCTTTCTCAAGTCCTTGACTGAGACATTGATCTCCTCATCTGTGATATAACCATCCTTTCGACCTCGTTCCTGCGAAACATCTCGCGATCTCGACATCCGATCTAGGATATTATGAACGATCTGCTTTTTCGAGAGTTCATCAATGTCTGGATCAGGCGTATTTACGAAACGTGTTTTTATTTCTATTTCATTTTTAGCGATTGTGTCATTTAAACAACTTTCTGATCTGGTAGAAGACAACTTCGGCGAGCCTGGAGAACTTTTGTTGGAGAATACATCCTCCTCCGAACTGTAACTTTTTTTACGTAAACTTTCCCGCTCCTTGTTGGTTAAAGCGAAACTTCTGACGTTCGGATCTTGGTATATTTTAGATACAATAGTGTTATCTTTTCTTGGCGATGTTTTCTCACATTCGTCGTTGCCGAGCAAGTCTTCACTGGAACTATAAATGTGTTGTCTTTGTCCCTTTTCTAAATTCTGTTGGACTCTTCTAAGTCCTCTAAATTGTTCGTTCTTTCTAACTACGTTTGAACTCAATAAATCATCATCGTAGCTTAAGAGTTTTCTTCTGGGAAACCCATCATCTGAGTTGTAACAAAGTTGATTGCCATCGTATCTGCCATAGTTCACTGTTTCGACAGGTAGATGATCCCTACTTGATAGTGCAAATTTTCGAACATGTGGATCTTGATATATCTTAGAAATTAAGGTGTTATCTTTTTTCCGACCGAGAATTCTTGGAGGATTATTGAAAGAATCCTCGGACAGTAAGTCTGTCTCACTTTTGTGCCTTCTCAAACTGGTTATCTCAAGCGGTGACTTTAGCGATCTAGAAGGTGCTGCAGAGTTCAGCTTTAGGTACTTTGGCCGTTCGGGCATATCTTTTTTGACAACTTCTATCTCAGACTCACTAGCACTAGCGTTGTCAATGGTGCCGTTTCGTACTTTGGGAGTTACAGATACCTCAGAGTTTGCGATGTTGTAGCAATTGACTACGCTCAAATCGCTATCACTGGTCATTTCTAGCTCTGTTTTGGGTTCTGGAGATAGAATAGGTACTGATTTTAGCGAGGCATTGGGTGTTGGAGTGCCAGCGTCGGTACTTGAAAATACATCTTCGATTATCATGCTCTTTTCCTGCTCTTCGGTTTCCCGTTCTTTAGTTGGAGTCCAGATGAAATCGTTAACCTATTAAAATATTAGGATTAGTCTAGCTAGAGTAACATTGAGATACTGTAGACTAAACTTTTATGACCACAGGCGCGAATTTCGGAAAAAGCATGACATTCAGATGTGTGTAATGACCACAATTTCTCTTTCCGAATTTCAAAAGTACGTTATCGGAAATCGGTTTTTCTTTAATACAGAATGATCAAAAAGTTCCGGAACATCAAGATATTTGGGAATATTTAAGCAAAATAAGGTACAATAGTAGCAGTTCGGGATTTTCCCCGTGGCTATTCAGTGGTGACCTTGAGTTTGACTTTAATCATGACCCTGAAGGTCAGGGCACCCTAGACTTCTGACTCTGGAAACGGATTGAACGAAAAATTGTATGTTTAATGTATGTATGACCTTGGCGAAAATTATTTTGACCTTGAACGTTCGTGGTCAAGGTCAGGCTGAAATAAAATTTTACGCTGTATCCATTTCTAGAGTTACAAGTTTAGGGTACCATTCAAGAAATGTCTAGTCCTTGATTAGTCAAGGTCAAGGTCAAGGTCAGTGAATCGCCCGGGAATTCGAAGCCCCTTCTGTCTTTCGGTCTTTATTTTTGTTTTATGTTTAGAAACATCCTTAAAATCTTGTCAAACCAATGTTTTTCACGATGACCTTGACAAGGAGGACGAAAGTCAACATAACTATGTCCCAAGGTTAAATGTAGAATTTCCCATTATATTTATTTCTGAACTGAGCTGTTAGAGAAAATTGTCTTGGCATTGATTTTATCCTCAAGGTCAAGGTAAATGTTAGTTTCTATGTCAGAGAAAAATTGAAGCTTCTGATATCCTGGGGTGCTTATTTTCGCTGTACCTTTAGAAATATCTCTGAAAACTTTTCTAGCGAAGGTTTTTTACGTTGACTTTGACCAAGACGATCAAGGTCAATATAATGCTTACCCGAGGTCACATGTGATCATAACATTTTCCGCTATGTCAGTTTAAGTCAAAAGTATAGGGTCATATTTAAAAAAGTTGTATTGACCTTGATTAATCCTTCAAGGTCATGCTCAACGTCAAATTCAAGTTCGCTAGTGAATAACCAGGGAACAATATTAAACCAAAACTGTTTTACCAATACTATATCCCTTGAGTATTCTCGAATATCTTGACGTTCTAGGATGCATAGTAATACAAATTAGCTTCACGTGAGGTTCAAATTTGACTGATGTAATGTGTACGAGAGAGAAGCGTGCAATATGTATGTTAGAAAGAGTGCACCGATGACATCCGTGACCTCGTATTCGGGTTGCGAGGCAACGAGGTGCTTCTATCTCTTTCTAACACACGTACTGCACGCTTCTGTCTCGTACACATTACGACGTCAGAGGTATTTGGTTTTCGTTGTACAAAACAAGTCATTTAGATCTGCAGAGACGGAATAGCCCTAACACAACTTTTGTAAGTTTTACACAGCTCAGATACGAGATTTTTGGAAAGCTTGTTCTTTACACTGAAAAATGTGTTTCTTCTTTGACATTAATATAACGAACGTTTTTGTTCAGTAAGTTTTATTAATTTTAGTATGGAATCGGTCTAGCGGTGTCACCATTTTGAAAATTCAGCAGTTCTGATAGTACATTTGTAATCATTGACCAGAAAAAACCCAGGCATATACATTTTCAGATTACTCAACCAAGTTTTAGGCCTTATCGATTTGTATTGAAATAAAACTGTTTTTCTCAAAAACGGTTCATTTTATCGAAATTGGGATTGCGAATTTTTCAGGTAAGCACAGTATTGCTTTGAGCCACTATGTTGTAAAAAAATCAGCGGTCATGCGTTAGGGTAAGTTCGTCACTGGAAATCTAAATGAAAATTATTTTACATGTACACCATCACCTCCAAACTAGTTAGTACTCTGTAGTATTATATAGGGCGTTCGACAAATAGACGGAGATATTTTAGAGGGTGATTCCTTGTTCAAAAATATGAAATTTTTTTCGATAAACATGGCTATGAAAATGCAGAGTTTTCAAGACAAATTAAAAAAAAATGTCTTATTAATATCTTATCGAAAACGAGGTGAGACGAAAATATTCAAGAGGCAAAGAAGTTGTATTTTTAGATGCTCAATCAAACAACAAATATTAAAGTTACAAAAAGGCAGTGGCGTACATTTTAGCCAATAATAAATTTCAGTAGAATCGAGTATATATTGTTTAAGATATTAATAAAAAAAATTATCACCATGTATCTTGATAATTCTGCATTTCGGGACCCGTGTTTATAGGAACTTTTTTCATATTTTTTAACAAGGAATCGCCCTCTAAAATATCTCCATCTATTTTTCGAACACACTGTATATTAAGGTTATTTAAGAAAAACGACTGCAGGATTTTTTTTCATACAAAATAAGAAATATCGAACTTTTTAGTCTACGGTATCTCATTCGATGATTTTGTATTGATGCACTATAACATAATTGTGTTAGAAAACCAACTCAAAAATGGACATATGGAACATGGTTGTTTAGTCTTAGTCCAGAGATCCCATGACGCAATGATATAAAATGGACATGATATGTTTGAAGCGTAATAATATAGCAAACGACAAAAATGTTTAACATAAGCTTTGAGTATTGTTAGTATTGCGTTGATATGGCATCACATTGTACAAGTTATATTTCCACCATTAGACCTCAGGGTACAAAAAATATCTAATAGGTACGTTATCGTTTTAATAGTATGTATGCATTTAGTTGAAACACTGATGATAATGCTGTTATAAAAGTTTGAAGCGTTCACAAAACTTACCAGTTTTCACGTAAGCCATTGTATCTATTTCGAAACAAAGATATTGAGATATTCATTTTCATATTTATTCAAACAATATCTTAACAATACTCAACTGGGTGCTAACAACAACTAAAAACTATATACAAAATGGCTCTGGACAGCTATTCGAGGTAGAATTGCGTACGTAGAACGTCACAATGATTTCTGGTTTTCTGGGAAATTAAGCAAGGGGTTCTTAACGAAATTCTTGCTCGAGTTTTTGGATGTGTACAAGCTTCTTGGCAGGCTAGAATAAATCGACGCTTCCTCTAGTTGGTTTATCCTCTTGCTCAAACTTACCTCTGGTGTGTCTGCTCGGCCCCCCGCTCGGCGTGGCGGCCAATTTCGCGTAATAGTCTGGACCAAATCTAGAAGAAACAGTAATATCAATATGGGCATATCTTTTACATGTCGTTTATTTTTGCAAAAAATGAGCAACTTTTTATGGCAAAGCCTTAAGCTGAACAAGTTCTTTAGGTTCCGAACAAAAAAGGTCAATGGTCTCCATGGAATGATTAGGTAAAAAAAACGACACGCGTCAGTATATAACTCAGGCGTTGTCATGTAGGTAAATATGTTTGTTCACAAATCGGATTTGAAAAACTAGAATTGCACACTCTTATATACAGGGCGCTCCACGAGGAAATGAACAGGTGGATTGGTAGGTAGTATGAACCGAGACCTTTGGAGGTTATCACCGCTGGGGGAGGCAATAGACTGGCACAGTTCAATGTTTCCAAACGTAGAAGTGTACCGTGACTTACAAGAAGCTTCCTACCGAGCATTCGGTTCCGATGGATGGCCGAGCTCTACCAAAGAGCCGTTCATTTCGGCTGAACGTAGTCCAGCACGAGTATAATGTAAAAAACCTATAAAACGTCAAAAAAAAAAACGTTTAAGATCTCAACTTGCAGACTAGGCAGTTTTTAGGGCGCAAACAGTCATTCCACGTTTGCTCACTAGGATCGTTGTGAACGTCCATCTATGGAGGAATCACTCAACTAAACTACGCATTATTGGTTGCATAGTTTTGTGAGGCTGATCTGGATGATTATGCGTATTGGTCTGCATGTGTATAAAATCAGTGATATTTGCTGTGTTTGAAAATCATTACTGAGTAAGCTGAATACGACGGGTTATTTATATGTTGTGCTTTCTGAAGAGAGGTTATGTTCAAAGTTATTATTAGTTAGCATGTATATGGCTTGTACTTCGACAGTGCACAGTGAATATAATTATTTTATTTAATTTGTATATGTAATTTCCAGAATGGATAAGAAAAAGTGGATGCGCAACTAATTTCTAGCTTTGAGTCTCAGTTAAGTGTATTTGAGACAAGAACCCAATGCAATCATCAACACATACAACTTACAGCTTAGACCTCCAGTAATGCCATCTCAGAAGCAGATTTTACATCACATCAGAGCCAAATATTGATAACAAGCCTCGTGACGTTTAGGCAACACGTACAACTAAGTTAACATCTTGTAGAAAAACCTACATAATGTCAAAAAAACAGCATAATATCAAAAAATCGGCATAATGTCACTTTTCAAGATACGAGATCACCAAGGACTTGATCAAGCACGAACACATCTCGTCAATAGAGGCATCTGCTGAGAAATGCTTGTTGTTTTTTTTAGGGCCAGTAGTAGTATTATAGTATTATACAGGGTGCGGCAGAGAGGATGGACGGTTTTAAAAAAATCATAAAATAGTTAATTTTTACTCGAAAACAAATTTATTGATGGAATCAGGTTCACAAGGAAATAGCATTTGAGACAGTCAAGTGTGGAAAATCACATCAGGCATGTGGTGGCCGAAATCATTGATGCAGTGCTGGAGGCGTTCTTGGAAGTTCGCGTAGACTCTCTCCAACATCGCTCTCTCAACTTGGGCGACTTCCACGCGAATTTCGCCCTTCAATTCGTCCAGAGTTCGGGGCTTGTGGCTTGTGAAAGTGAGCTTCGTCACTCATAAACAAAATGAGGTTCTCATTTTGATCGATCAGTGCTTCCATCTCACGTGCGAAGTTCATTCGTTGTGCATAATCTCCGGGCTGTAACTGTTGCACAATGGCCAATTTGTAGGGGTGAAAGCGGAGTTCCATATGCAAAATTCGCCTTACCGAACGATCACCAAGGCGAAGTGCAGCAGCATGTTTCCGGGCAGATCGAGTCGGACTGCGAAGAAAGACCTGTCGAACGCGTTCAACATTTTCAGGAGTTCGAACTGTTCGCGGCGCTCCTCTTGGTCTTCTGTTGATCAGTTCACCACGCCTGCGAAGTGATTCAACCCAACGAAGGATGGTGTTTCGAGAGGGAACAGCTCTATTCCGATGAATGTTGAAGTGGCGACGAAACTCACGCTGTACGACGATGACTGACTCATTATTTCGGACGAAACAATCATAGGCGAAAACGTGCTCCATCTTCCAAGGCTCCATAATGACAACTGGTAAAATAATGCTAATGGATATCACGCACCCTCCCCACCTCTCTCGTAGACGGAGGCGGAGAGTACTACTCATCCCAAAAACGTCCGTCCTCTCTGCCGCACCCTGTATCATAGTACTCTTCTCCACATAACCGCCCTACTCTGTACAAGGCTGCTTCAGTATAAATTTGAAGGTTCTGTTTTCTTTCGTATACTTTTCAGGTCAAACATTGCTCATATTTTGCAGTTTTTCAAATATTATTTCCAGAAAGCTATCAACTTTGAAGAAATGTCAATAAGAACCTTTTTCGTTGTATGACCCAAAAACCGTCCAGAGCGAAAAAAGAACATTTTTTGGGTTTTGTTTGGCCGAATAACATGCATATTCGTTAAAAAGAGTCCATTTTGAAATGATTATGCAAAAAACAGAATTGAATATTTTCCGAGCAGATGCGACGATACTAACTGGTTTCTTGTCTATGCTAGCATCGATATCTCTACCCACAATACGGACTAAATTTACCAGATACTAATATACGTATAATAATATTAGATGAAAATAGCCTTGGTTTGCGGAATAATTGTAAAGTCTGGTATTATTCAAGCAAGTTGTTCAAGGGGGAATTCAAAACATGGACGCATAAAATGGGTACCCCAATTTTTGTGGGAAAACTTTTTATTTGACATCAAAGAATGAGAAAAAGAAAACATGTTTTTTGGGATTCAATCGAAAATGTTAGTAGGAACGAAAAAAACTCTAAAACTCTTCATATAAGATTTTTAGGTACACGTAAAAAGATCCGATTAATAGCAGAAAAGTTATGGCCGAAAACTGAGGCAAACTGCAGGTTTTGGCACTTGTTGGTAATGCGACGATGATTTCTTGCAGATATTTGAAATATTTCAAATTCGTAGGATTCGTACTTCAAAATAACCATAACAAAATTGGAGTAGATTGGTCAAGTCGTGTTTGAGAGTTTCTAATTGTTTATCCCAAATCACCTATTTTTCGGACATCACTACTAGTTTATTGAGCAATATACAGCGTTAGATCAAAGGGCATTTTATATAATACAGGACGCCATTTTTGATATACGCACTTCAGTAGATGGCGCCGTAGTAGTTGCTTAAAGCACATGCGTCCAATTCATGATGGAGCGCTACGACGAGATTTCGATCGAAATAATGTGCCCAGTGTCAACACCATTCGTCAGTGGGTCCGTAAATTTGAACAAACAGGTGAAGTTGAAGATTTGGCAAGGTCGGGTCGTGTACGAACTGTTCGTACTCCGGAAAACATCGAGAGAGTTCGTGACAGTGTAGTGGAGCGCCCTGAGACGTCTACCAGACATCGTTCTCAAGAACTGGTTATTCGTCGCACGTCATTATGCACTATTTTGAAAAAAGACTTGCATTTGCGGCCATACAAAATTCAGTTAACCCAAGAACTATAGCCTAGTGAGCATGAAAGTCGCCGACAATACAGTCATGTAATATTGCAGTTTAATACCCAAAATAACGATTATTACCGACAACTGATAATACGAGCGATGAAGCCCAGTTCGATATGAACGGATTTGTTAATAAGCAGAATTATCATATCTGGGCATTAGAGAACCCCCGTGTCATCCATCAACGACCACTACATCCTCGTCGAGTCACAGTTTCGTGCGGTGTTTGGTATGGAGGTGTCATTTGGATCTTACTTCTTTAAATACGTTGCAGGCTCTTACTGTCGCTGACGAGCGGTACCGTGGTATGGTGCAAAATTTTCTGGCTCCTCAATCCAACAATTTAACCTGCAAAACATGTGGTTCTAGCAGGACGGAGCAACTTGTCACACAGCTCCCTAGCAATGAATATTTTACGAACAAAATTTCCGGGACGTTTATTTCCTCGATTTGGTGATGTCAGCTGGCGACCAAGGTCACCGGATTTAATGGCTCCTGACTTTTTTATGGGGAAAATGGAAAATGTAATCAAGAGGGCTCATTTGTCTGATATTATTTTTACATACATAATTTCCAAGTTTCAATAAAATATTATGATAAAAAAAATGGACGTATTTTATTTCATTTCACAAATATTCAAGATACAAACGAGTCAGTTACATATCGACCACCCTGTACTTAAGTGAACATATTCAGCTATCTCCGATCTTATTTGTCTTTTGAATGGACTTTTTTGACATTTTCAATATTTGAAGATTTTGAAATTTTGTATACTTCTATAGGTCCCACAGCCGTAAGGAAGCTGTGGGAAGTATTTAGTCAATCTACTTGACGCCAATTCTTCACTTACAAATATAATTGGCATTGTACTTGTAAAATTCTGTTATATCTATTTAACTGTATATCTTATCTCGATAAGATATAATATAGTGCTCGATAACTATGCAAGACATTTACTTAAAACAATATAGAAAATTTTCTGAAAGCAAGATGGAAAACTGAAAGATCCTTTAATGACAGTAATGCTTTCTTCTAGGATCACTAATACAAAATTGGTTTCGTATAAAAAGAGAACATGGTCGACCGTTAAAAAATTCGATGTTTGCTTAAATGAATTTTAAAAAGTTTTCATGCTTGTGATGTGAACAATATTCGGATCTCAGGCCAATTACCTTATTATGCTTTCTATCAAAAATACTCGAAAAAGCTGTATACTCGCAACTAGTGCAGTTTTTCGAACAAAATCAATTATTTCCTCTACATCAGTCAGGTTTCAGAGCTGGTTACAGCACTACTTCGTCTTTTATTACATCTTACTGATTCCATCATTCACAATTTAGATAATCACATCAAAACCGTCTTGGTACTGTTAGATTTCTCGAAAGCCTTTGATATGGTCAATCATCAGATACTACTGAGTAAGTTATCTCATTATGGAATGTCAGATATAGTTCTAAAGTTCTTTGAGTCATACTTGCTAA